GGATGAATAACCGAAGTTCTTCACTGTTTATCCTAATTTGAATGATTAGTTTTATTCAAAAATTTCTGTTAGTCCTGGGTTTTTAGAAAGGGTTGGATAGTGAATCGACGTTTGAGGTCGTTAGACACTAGCTAAGTGGGTGGGGGAGAACAAAATTGTTCTTTTTGATCCAAGGATAGGCCTTGATGATCAAGTTTTAAATTTAATTAAATAGAAAATGATTTAAGATCCAAGGATGAGCCTTGAAGATCTGATTTTAAATTTAAGTAATTTTAAGTTTAAAATGATTTAAATTTGTGTAGAGAAAAGATTTAGTGTTTTTATGATATTAGTGAGCTTATGAATGCTGTTATGTTTAGGTGATGAAGCTGGAACAACAGGATGATTTATGATTACTAACCATTTATTGTCATGCTACTAATTTTTATTTTGATTTTTCAATAAATATTTTTCAAACATGTTTTGTATATTACTGCAGAATTTAGGAAAACGATCTGAGATCTTTTTATCAATCGTTATTGTATATTAATAATTTTGTTTAGCGCCTGAAATGATTTTGAAGATTGACTTCAAGATTTTATGTTTGCAAATGAAAATCTAAATTCATTGCTAGTAGTATTCTAAATACAAAAGTTTGTGTTGGCTTTTGCCGAACTATCATATAACTATATGGTAAGTTTCTACTTTGTCGTATGTCGTCTCTGGTTCGAGGTCTTCTTGCAATTCCGGGTAGTTCTCTTATCGTTCGGAATATTGGCTTTGATCTATTGAGTCGTAGAGACATTTCGATTAAATTATCGTCGTGTAACATTTTAAAAATGTTTTGTCTAAATTCTAATCTATTTTTGGTTAATTCTAAGCTATTAAGGTCTTGTTCGAGACTTATGGTCGCACCAGATGAGTTAGAACCGAAGTGTATAACTCATAGAGTAATTTCGGATAGGGTACACCGTCTGCTCGTCACGCTATCTTATTTTCGGCCGGATAGGTTCGTGCAACTTCTTAGTCTAATACCGATCCTAATCTTACTCTTATACTATCTAGTCTCAGGTTGTTTAACTAGTCTCTGCTAGGCTCAATAGATCTAGGGTATACTGGTTTATTGCGGCTGCTGAAGTCTTCTTGGAGAGTCAACTAATTTCTAAGTTAAATTCAAATCTCTCTGGTGCTGAAATTACAAGTAATTTCAGCACTTACAAATAAGTGGGTTGTTAGTTAGATGGATCATGATTGGTTAATATTAAATACTTTACAGTGGTAAAATATCTAATTTATCCAATCATAAAATGTAGTTTAGATCAGGTTCCAGAAAAGTGCTAGTCGTACAGTTTCATATATAGGGTAGCTTTAGAAAAATGTACATTTCATATAATTTCTTTTTATGAAAATTGTATGACTAGCTTTTTTCAAAGTGAGAAATTTTCTTCTACAACAAACAGAAGTTTTTGTAATATATGATGACGCTGATAGTTTGATACACAACATGTAATGGCATCAAACTTAGCTTTTGAGACTACAAGCTTCGAAAAAAGGGATGAATTTTATTTCGTGAAGAGTTGCTAGATGAATTTACTCTCGTGAAGAAATGCTAGTCATTTCTAAAATGAAAATTGTACGACTAGCATTTTCAAGCAAAATGTGCAAACAAATCAAAAACTGGAAAAGAACAGACTTTTTAATCATATTTTTAGTAGCACTATCAGCACGCAAAAGAAAACGTAATTCAAATTCAGCTTTTGTCTATAATTTAATTCAGGCACAGTTTTTCACACAAAAAAAATAAAAACTAAAATCTGAATTTTGTGAAGCTCGAGTTCTATTTTTTTTTGGTGCAACAAGCTTGAAGTGTGCCAAAAAACAGCCCGTGATATTAAAAAAACTCAAATACTTGTGTCATACACAAAGCCTTACACAAAAGAAACCATGGGAAAGTCTTTTTTATTGTTCCGACTTTCGATACGAAAGTAACGGAATATTTGTGCTCGGGGTGGGTTTTCTTTTCTTCAGACAAATTTCGACTTTTTAACTAGCCATTTTTGGCAGAATTTTTTATATATCATTCGAAAGCTATTGTTGTCCTGAGCTCATATTTGAAAAAATATTTCACCTGTGATTATTTTTAGTAAAGTTATGGGGGTTTAAACATTGCCATTTTGGCCAATTTGGGACAGTTAACGCGCGATATATTTCGCGCTATTAACGCGTTAGCGGAGAGTTAATCCGTCTTAAAATCGTTCCAGATTGGTTGAAAGAAGCTTATTTGCCATAATTGATTTGATACAAGGAGCAAAATCTACCTTTTTGCACTTTAAATGGCGTGTTGGGGGATGATTTTCATAAACAATTTCAAATTTTAGAAAAAAAATTTTTCATTTTGTTTTCTTTCATTGAAATTTTTTTATGTTATTTCTGCTCTATAAACCTTAAAAGGCAGTCGGAACAATCAGGGCTTCACCCTCATACGAGCAGTCTTGTTGTTCCGGCTTTCGATACGAAAGTAACGGAATATTTGTGCTCGGGGTGGGTTTTTTTTTCTTCAGACAAATGTCGACTTTTTAACTAGCCATTTTTGACGGGATTTTTTCATATCATTCGAAAGGTATTGTTGTCCTGAGCTTAAACTTTGAAAAGATATTTCACCTGTGATCATTTTTAGTAAAGTTATGGGGGTTTAAACATTGCCATTTTGGCCAATTTGGGACAATTAACGCGCGATATATTTCGCGCTATTAACGCGTTAGCGGAGAGTTAATCCGTCTTAAAATCGTTCCAGATTGGTTGAAAGAAGCTTATTTGCCATAATTGATTTGTTACAAGGAGAAAAATCTACCTTTTTGCACTTTAAATGGCGTGTGGGGGGATGATTTTCATAAACAATTTCAAATTTTAGAAAAAAAATTTTTCATTTTGTTTTCTTTCATTGAAATTTCTTAATGTTATTTCTGCTCTATAAACCTTAAAAGGCAGTCGGAACAATCAGGGCTTCACCCTCATACGAGCAGTCTTGTTGTTCCGGCTTTCGATACGAAAGTAACGGAATATTTGTGCTCGGGGTGGGTTTTTTTTTCTTCAGACAAATGTCGACTTTTTAACTAGCCATTTTTGACGGGATTTTTTCATATCATTCGAAAGGTATTGTTGTCCTGAGCTTAAACTTTGAAAAGATATTTCACCTGTGATCATTTTTAGTAAAGTTATGGGGGTTTAAACATTGCCATTTTGGCCAATTTGGGACAATTAACGCGCGATATATTTCGCGCTATTAACGCGTTAGCGGAGAGTTAATCCGTCTTAAAATCGTTCCAGATTGGTTGAAAGAAGCTTATTTGCCATAATTGATTTGTTACAAGGAGAAAAATCTACCTTTTTGCACTTTAAATGGCGTGTGGGGGGATGATTTTCATAAACAATTTCAAATTTTAGAAAAAAAATTTTTCATTTTGTTTTCTTTCATTGAAATTTCTTAATGTTATTTCTGCTCTATAAACCTTAAAAGGCAGTCGGAACAATCAGGGCTTCACCCTCATACGAGCAGTCTTGTTGTGTTTCAGACCTAAAGACAAATAGATAAAGACAAACTCAAAACTTTTATTAATTTTCACTTAAGAAGAAAACGGTACTCGAACAGTTTCATAGTATATAGATAGGGCTAGACACACCTTTTCATTGGGGAAAAACCTTGTAAGTTTCTGCTGATTTGATTTGGCCGCTATTTAGATGACATGTCGTGAGTTAAGAAAAATTTCTGTGAGATTATATCAGACTGACTTCCTTTTTCGAGCTGAAGATGAGTACTTTTAAATGTGATATTGTTTTACAGCAAATTGGGTAAATTGAAGTTTCGGGCATTGTGAATCTAAAAAATCTGTGTCAAACGGTTTGCTTTTGCGCTACACTGCTCTTTAAGATTTGTTTTAGAGGCAAAACAAGTTGAGACCATTTTGTCTCTAACCAATCCAATGAGCACCGCAGACTGCAAGTTTGGGTAGCGCCGTTCTTAAAAGGTTTATAGTAGTAGTATAAAATCAAGAAGCAGAAACTCATATTTCTGATGAAAATTATCGTTTGTGATTGTCGCTTGTTTTTGACTAATCCAATATTCTTTGTAAATCTGTACAATAGCACGATTAAATATGAAAAAAAAACCACTCGAAACATTTTTGTTGCTCAAAAAACATCTCTTCATTAATTATCAAAGTTCCACATCTCAGCTGTCATGCTGTAAAAAATTCGATTCATACGTCGATTCAGTTGGAATTGACAGTCTTTTCAAAAGTTTCAATGGTTTTGGATCACTCATATATTAATTTTTGTGGATTCCACAAACTGGTCTGCATTCCGCAATTTTGTTCCGAATTTCTCAAGTTCGCCTGATTCGGAGCAATTTTGAATAACACAGTGTTTCAGCTAATTGATCGCGAAATCCAAAAATTCTGTTTTCGCCCTATTGCGGATTCCGCTCACACTCATAAATACACAGATTGGCCTCATAAGGAAGTTCAGTAGACGAGAATCATCATCTTGCAGCATGATATGTAATTGCTATCAAAGTTTGATTATGTTCAACCAGATCGTCTTTGTGTATAGAGGTAGCGTTGAAGCAATATCACTGGGCCATAGAGGAGGACCCAGATGATGTCATGGCCTATTATGGACGGGCCACTGCCTACCTCGCTCTTGGGATGACAGAGTCAGCACTGCAGGACATGGATGAAGTTCTGACACTTCTGACTCAGTGGAGACAGGATTTCCAAGCGGCCAGTTAAGTGTGTTTTCATGATGCCAAAGAAAATTTCTCTGACAGGCAACAAAATTTTGACGAAGTTATACTTTTACTTATAATTTTTGTAAGAAAAAACTATTAAATTAGTCTTTCTTTTTTAGCTGCTCGTGGTTTGGTTTTCTAAAAAGATCTCATCACTGCCTTGAAAACCGGTTATAATTTTCGAGAAATAGCTGGTTTAGCAATGAATTTTCATTTTTAGCCAAAAAAAGATTTTGTTACAGAACTCAGCGTGTGGATATATTGACTAAATATGGACGCTTTAATGACGCTATTCAGGAACTAAAAAAGATCCAAAAAGGCGGTGGAAAAGCAGGAAGTGACGAAGAAATTTTGCCAAAGATTCGGAAATTGAAAAAACTAAAGGCCTCGGCAATTGAAGCTGAAGAATTTTTTCAGCATGATGAAGATTACCAAGGCAAGCGTTAAGTATAAAAGTTTGTTAGTTCAAGTGTTAGTTCGGGTTTTACTGGGCAATATCAATTTCTAACTTTTGGTAAAATTTTTAGCAATAGTTGTCGTTTCTATAAAAATTGCATGACAGATACGAGTTTTTGTAATAATTATAACTGCATACTTCCAAAGCATTTTTTTCGAAAGCTTACTCCATTTTTCTGATAAAGTTTAATTGTTTTTTTATATTTATACATTTTAATTTTGATGGCAAATTTCGAGATATTGTGATTCAGGTGCACTTAAATTACTGGACCCATTGATTGTGGCTTCTCCGTGGAACTCTGAATTTAGAATTATGCGTGTTGAGGCCTTGATCAAGGAAGGCGAATTGCACGAGGCACTTTTACATCTGCAGCAGCTGACTAACTTCATTAACAACAACGAGCACGGATTTCTGAAGCTGAGTCTGTTGTATTATCAGATGGGAGATACTGAATCTAGCTTAGCTAAAATAAGAGAATGCCTCAAGTTAGACCAGGACCACAAACAGTGCTTCGCACAATATAAAAAAGTAAGTTTTATTCTTTTTGAAAAAAAATAGTTCCTCCAGACAAAAATAAAGTAGCCAGTCTATCTGCCTTATTTCAATCAGCACTCTTCATTCTCGGAAATTTTGCAACCAAGTGTACCCTTAACAATCCTACCCCATACCAAATTACGCTACAACTAGTCTTGTTTTTGATCTTTTAGGCATTGTTTACACTACCGAAATGTAAAAACCATCCTTGTTAGATAGATTTAAATCAATTTTCAAACAAGTAAAATACTGTATTAAAACCCATTCAGGGTAGACCATTGGATACATAATTCAATTTAGAATGAATTAAAACAGATTTTTGATAAAATACGGGGAAAAACTTAGCCGTTTTTTGTTTTGGGCAAAAATTGAGCGGAATTTGCTATTTCAGAAAAACCTCCTTCAGAGCTACAGAGAGCAAGAGTCACTCGAGGAGAAACTTTTATCAAAATTTTTTGAGTTGAGGGGAATCAATTTTTGAGTCAAGCAAATCTACGGGTTGCCGCGGTAAAGAGTAAATTATTTGGAAAAACCTTCAAATAAGTTTTACCTAACAACGTTCTAGGCTCATTTTTATTAAGCGAATGACATTTAATTGAATTATTTAAATCAGAACCATTCATTTTGGTGCAGAAAGTTTACGTCTTGTTCAGACTCGTAGTTTTTCAGGCCAATCATGATCACTAAAATTCAATTGAAAAAGATGATTGAAAGTTAAATTTCCATTTTTCTCTATCGGTTGATAGTTGAGAAATTCTGAATATAATCTGTAAAAAATTACAAGAAAAATTATGCCTAAAGCAGATAAAAATCGATTAAAATTGTTTTAAATCAGTTTTTTTATTCGTACAGTTTGTATAAAAATAACACGAAAAAATTTCCAGATACAATCATATGGATCACTTCAGATATAATTGGAAATGATTTTTTGAGTTGCAAGTTTGAATAAAAAGCGAACCGAATTTAAACCAGTTCAAATAGATTTGTAATTTAAGTGTTCTGTGGAAAAAAAACACGGCGGCATACAGGAAATTTTTCTCAAAACCCGGATATTTACGCCTATTTTAAGTGAGATTAAATTTCTACCGTGCTCTAGATTTTGAAGCGTAGGATGAAATGTTAATCAGTAGATTTACATACAATTGAATGACACCTGTGAAATTACTATAGACTATAATCAAAAATAAAACTTTCAAAATGTTTACCCTCGATTAATTGTCTTCTGACGTGTGAATTGGCAAATATTTTGCGAAAATTATAAATAAATAATCTGATTATTGTTCAAAATGTAGGGAACAAGGGACAAAATCTAATGACTGATACAATTTTTTAAATTTAGCCAAATGTTAAAATAATTTCATTGGAAAAAAAAGAATTTCAAGAAAATTTGAAGTGATTCGTGTTTATACTCTACAACTCGAAAGTCATTCTGAATTTAAAACGTAATCTGTATTTTTTAATCGATTTTTCTGATTTCTCTTGACCTGTTTGTAAAGTAATTAAGCAATGACAATTTTTAAAAAAAATTGTGTTTCTACTCAGAACAAATTTGTCATTTTATGCTAAACAATCTGAAACATTGAACGGCATATTTAGGTAAAGAAATTAACCAAACTACTGAACGAAGCTCAGCTACACATCAAAGAAAAAAAATTTGCCGACTGCATTCAGAAATTAAAGTCAGCCTTGGAAACAGAACGCGCTGTGAAGGCATTCAGACTAAAAATAATGCCTGATATGTGCAAATGTCTGTCAAGAACCAACGATTCAAAGGATGCGATTAAATTCTGCAGTGAGGCTCTAAAAATCACACCGGATGACGAAGACGTGCTAATTGACAGAGCCGAAGCGTACATAGTTGAAGAGGAGTTTGAAAATGCTATTAAAGTACGTGTTTGAAATCTAAAGAAACTGAAGACGATAATTTGTACAGAAAAAATAGACTCTTAAAAGTTTTTAAAGAAACCAATTGGTATTTGAGACCATGGTGACCGAACAACTTTTCAACAAGGAACAAGTAAATTTCTATTTAAAAATCAAATAAGGGAGGAGAAAATTCGCTTGGTTAAAGAAAAATAATTCAGCCCCTCAGAATTGAGCATAGCACTTGCAGGCCTTACGGCTTCATTTTGTCAATTAATTTGAGGGCAGATTGTTCACTTTGTCTATTCAGGGGGCGATTGTTCACTTGGTCTATTCAGGGGGCGATTGTTCAGATGGGCCTTCATAAGTAGTGTGTTATTTTGAGTAGGATTACGAGACGGCAATCAAGAATAACGAGGGATCCAGGAGACTGAAAGATGGTCTTACGAGGGCGAAAAATCTGTTCGAGCGGTGGAAGAAGAGAAGCTACTATGAGATACTGGGAGTGAAGACGACAGCCACAACGCAACAAAAAACTGGCAGGGCTATATCATCCCGACAGGTACATTAGTCATTTAAATGAAATAAAACATCAACATACAAATTATAAGCTCTTAACTCCAGCCAAGTTTAGATTTTTACCAAATGCAACTTGAGTAAAAATTGCCTGAATGTTGCGAATTTTCTTTGATTTTTATATGCGACCTTAAATGCGTTCATCTATGCAAAAAAAAAATTATCTCTGACAAGGGTAGCATTGTTGCGTTAAGCTAAACTACTGTTGGTCAACCTTTCATTATGACATTAAGACAACTTGGTATGCAACTTGACGACTTACATAATTGATATCTCTCCAACTTCTTTAACAGTTTATATTTACACAAGCAAAGCTTGTGTGATAGCATGAACCCTTTTTTTCTAACAAGTCGCAAAAATTACTGTTCATTTTCAAATTGTACTGTTTTTGCAGTATGTACATAAAATTAATCAACGGCTAATAAGTACATCCAATGCTAGGGATATTAAAAAAGACTAATAGATTACAAATAGCAATTTAGCTTAAAGGTAGCATGGATCTGGAATATAGAGGTAGTGAAGGAGACCTGCAACAAGTAAGAGGGTTCGAACCAGTGCAGGGTCGGATGTTTTAATGAACTTTCTTGGATACTAGGTAAATTGCGTCTGCTCTATAAATTGAGGCATGTTTTCAAACTGACTGGTAATGCTAATGCGTCATAATTGGCTTGCATCACTTAGCAACTATATAGATTCATAATTCAGTTTTTCCCAGAAGCGTTATTGGTCATACTTTTGCTTGGGTATGCAAAGTGCAATTCCTTCTCTTTTTCAAAATTGACTTTGTATGACTTGAACATAACTACCTAAATTTCCCGTACATTTAGGGGGGATTTTTTTTTCAAAATTTCATGGGGATTTGAAAATATTGTTATGACCCCATGTGTTAAAAAAAGAGCAATGTGTTGGTTAAATAAAGAGCAAAACAATAAAAAGCAAAATGTGTTAAATAAAGAGCAGAACAATAAAG